AAGAGTGGTTTTGGAGAGATAAGTTCCCGCTAGAGATGTTAGCTGGGCAGGGAAGGCACTTAAAAAAAAAAAATAAATTAAAAATAAAATGCTTTCAAAAGCAGAGGGGACACAGTGCTAATGGGAATTAGCATTAAAAAAAGAGAAAAAAAAATTAAAGAATGTTGTTTTGCTAATAACAACGGGATAGAAAATGCAACCTCATGGATCTGCAGAACAGACCATCTCCCGAACTGCCCCCGGGTGTCACAGCACGAGTGCTGATCGGCCCCAGAGCTCTTCAAGGGCTTCTTGTACTCGGCATTTAGGTCCCCCCAAACCTTCCTGCAGCCACACAGCCCTGTTGGCTGCACCAGGAGCAGGGGACCTGCCCCGAGATGGCACTGCCAGAACATTTGCTGACCAAGCCAAAAAAACAAAACGCCTTCACAGTCCGTTCTCTCTCTGCCATGGAAAAGAAATGGCTTTTTTTGTCTTTTTTTTTTCCCCTGTTGTCAGCAGCAGCAGCACAAGCTCCCCCTCCGAACACAAGGCACAGAAAAACAAAACGCTCAGGTTCTGGGTACCGTCTTCGAAGTTATCGAAAGCCACTTTCCTCATGATCTCTCGTGCCAGGGGGGTCGGTGGTGTGTACCCGATGACAAAATTCACCAGCACCGAGGTGTCCAGGCTGCCCAGGTTGGTGTTGGCCACCGCCTCGTATTTCCTGTGCGGGTGCATCATGCTCATCAGGATCAGCCAGAACAAGAAAAAGAGTGGGAAAAGGACCTCCTGTGCAGAGAAATTAATAAATAAATAAATATGAAAACTTCACAGAGCGGCCCTAGTAACAAAAAATTCCAAAAGTTTCTCTTAGTTACACAAAGCTTAAAAGGAGCAACCATGAGTTTCATTACTCGACTGTAAAGTTCTCTCAGTGCTTTCAATGCAGCAGTGATTTTATTGCCAAATCCTCCTCTGGCACCAGAGCAGGATTTTAATGGCACCCACTGGTAACCGAAGAAGCCATTTTAAGGTACAAAGAGGTAACTCTATATGCTTTAAGTATCAGCAAACAGGCTGTTTGGAAAGCAGCAAGCCATGAGCCATTAAACAAGTCCAGCCGAGCACTGCACTGCCTTGTCTTCACCTCAAAATTCACCTTAAACCATCACACACATTGCCCGTGCACAGGGCTAATGTGTCAGAAAAGAGAAAAACCTTTTGGAGAGGTCTAATCCCGCTTTTTCACTTGGTTCTGGGTGCAAACAGTTTTAAAAGTGCACTAAGATTGCAATATTCATTCAAGGGTATTTTCTGGATAAAGCTTTACACATTGGGGTACATTTTCAACCAAAGGATCACAAAATACCTTCTGGAAAAGCCTATTACAACCCCAAATTCAGAGCAGACCTTAAAGCTTCAGAATTATTATAATAAAACAGAGGGTTGTCCCCGACTCAGGACCCCCCGACGCAGAGGGAGACCCCAGGCAGCAGGAAAGGAGCTCCCCTCACCTGAACGCTGCTTTTTTTGGTCCTGCACTTAATGAGGCAGTTCTTGAACAAGAGAGCCCGGGTTTGTCTCCACACTCCGGCTTCTCTGGGAGTTGCTGGGGCCATTTTTCAAGACTAGTTTGTTTAAGGAAAAAAAAACAAACAAACAACGACGACAAAAAACAAACAAATCAAATCCATATGAAATGACAGAATAATTTAAAAAGCAAAAGCCAGGCAGTTACACATTCAGTACCCTGTGTTTTCATATAGATTTTTCATTCTCAGTTTTGCCTATTTTTACTCCCAGTATATACATAAACACACACACAGCTCCAGCACACACACCAGGGGACATGAAGTCCTCACTGCCAAGGGCCAGTGGCCAGGCCATGCCCTGGGATGCCACCCGAGCCACCCTCACCAAAGGCAGGGTCACCCCCATGGGACCTCGCAAGACTCGGGCTACCCTGGGCTTATTCTCATATTAATGAAATACAAATCCCAGCCCGAAGCACCCATCTCCCAGCAGAATCCCACCAGGGAGCCCCGGGCAGAGCCCCGAAACCAAGAGCCATCTCACCCCAGGGAAACCGTTCCATTCACCCGGAGCAACCCCTTTCCACCCTGGAGCAGACCCAATACTACTTATTTTCCCAATTTACCTTTTCACCACAGTGGTGTTTACGCAAGCCAATTTACCTTTTCACCACAGTGGTGTTTACACAAGCTTCTTGGGAAAAAAAACATATAAAATTATAAATGGAAAAAAAACTCTTCCAGGAGGCAGCAGCCCATTCCCCCAGGACGTACCTGGTGAGTTGAGGGGTGGAAGGTTGGGGGACCACCAGGTTTTTATCCCCGGCTTTGCCACCACCTCGCTGCCCGAGGTGCAGTCACAGCTCAGACTCCATCCCTCTCCCGTTCCTCACCTGGGAAGGACAAACGGAACCGTGAGCTGTTCAGCAGGGACAGCACCAAACCCCGCTGGTCTTCGTGCCACCACCCCTTCCAGCTCCGGCCACCTCCAGTGATGCCCACAGGCGACCAGCAGAGTCATTTCTCAACACTCCAGCCGAAACACAGGGCAGATTTGGAGAATTTATCCATATTCCGGGTTTTACAGCCCCCAACCCCCGTTCCCAAAGGGAGCGATGCCGTTGGGGCCGCACACGGGAGCAGCTCCGTGGCAGGGCCCGGTTTCTGCGTTATCTGTCAGACAGCACGTGGCGCCAGCTTCCTGCCCCAGCTGCATTCTCATATGGAAAGCTATTTTCGGAGCGCAGACATCATTTAACTACAGGAACCCAGGAGGTTGCTCAGATGTCAGCAGCGCTGAGCGGGGAGAGCTTCCAACACCCGGGGAACCCACCTTCCGTGGGGGGCAGGAGGGAAGGAAAGAGGGAAAAGAGGGAAAAAGCACCCGTGAGCGGCCAGATCCACCACTCACACCCTCCTTCACTGGCGTCGGGGTCCCCCCGGGGCAGAGACCCCCCTCCGGGTGCAGGTGACACAGGGGGGACACGGCCACACATCACCACAGGCCAAGCCTTGGGAGGAGACACCACCCCCAGCCCCGAGGGCTTCCCCTAAAAACCCATTGAAGCTGCTCCAAAAATAAACCAAAATATTTCCCCCCGCCCCGCTCCTTTGATTAGAAAAACAAAAACAAAACCACAAAATGCTTAATAACTAATTCTTGTGGGGGAAGAACGCAGACAACCCCCGGGGATATCTCCCAGCAAGAACTGCTTCCAAAGGACAGTGGAGCCTTTGGGAATCACCGCGGGCAGCAGCTTCGGCTCCCAGGTCCTAAGAGCCAGCGGGGACCGCCCCAATTCACAGCACCCCCCGGGAGCTGCCCAGGCCCCACTGTTGGACTCCTGGCTTCCAGGAGCACGTCTCAAGAGCACTTGGACGAGGAGATGCTCCACCGAGGTGTCCCTGCAGCAGCCCCTGCCCTCCCTCCCTCCCAACCCTCCAGTCAACAGAGCCCCAGGAAACTGGCAGAGCTGATTTAATCAGACTCAATCACTAACGCCAGTTACTGTTTCTTTAATTATTTTCTGTCCAGTTATAAAATCAAGCCAAGCAGTAAATACTTCCACGCCTTCACTGCAACACTGTCTTGCTTCAACCTACATCGCCCAGGCTGGAGGAAGGCTCATTTCAAGCACGTTAATTAATTTCTCGGTACCACACCTGCATCTCCACATGAGCTGATGCAGGTACCTGACACACAGTTAAGAACCCTGAGGAGGCATCGCTTGAATGGTAAAAAAAATAATTGTATCTGGGCAAAAAAAAACCCAAACCCTCCTAGAAACTCCAGATGAGGAAAACAAACACATAGGCTGAGCAGATAAAGAAGCAGCCAAGACAGTTATTTGAATAACACTGGCCAAAACACAAATACTCTCAACCTGCAGAAGCCCCCCCAGAATTAAGCCCCTTCCTTATGACCTTGTGCCACCAGGAGACGTGGCTGAAACACTCGTGGGCATCTCCAGCAAAGCAACCTCAAGGGAACTGCTGGTTTTGTATTTCATTCCACACCAGAGGTGCCAGGGCTGTTTTCTGGGGGGGAATAACCCCCAGGGGACCCTCTGGCAGGCAGCTGCCCCCCGTAAGGCTCTCTAAGGGTCACTGCCCGGGGTTTGTGCTGCACCTCACATTTCCCTTGGGTTTTAAGCTAAAAACAACAACCCCTAAACAAAAACAGGTGGGGGGAGCCTCAGCTCAACGAGCTTGAGGAAAAAAAACCCCAACACCTGCAGAAAGATAAAAAAATACAATTATTGATTTTGCTGCAAGACGCCGACAGCCTAAATGATACTTAAAAAAACCAAACTCTGACGCGCTCTTTAATGGTCTTAAATTATTTAAGCCAAATGACTTATTTATGCATTTTTTAAAAAAATGGGCTAATTTTTCCTCCTTCTCTGAAGCCCCGAGGGCACAGCCGTGTCCCGGGCTGCCC